TGATGTTAACATAAACAGGAGGATAACCTGTAAACCAGCTTGAGTTTCCACAAGAGAGGGAAAAAGGTGAGAAATGAATGTAATGCAATAATAATTAGGTGTTCCCCCAATGGAAAGATGCTACAGTCCCCTGCTACCCTGACTAAATTGTTTGTGAATAGTCTAAATGTGATTCGCATCATAGTGCTGTGCGTTTCCCTGTTTCCTTTCCTGGTGGGCAGCGGCATGGAGACTCAACTGGTAAGCATGCCTCCTGCTGAATGTCCAGAAATGCTATGACAGGGACAGGGATTAGCCACCATGATAACAAATTCCGATCCAGAGATATCACTTCCATTGCAGGTCACAGTAGCTCCATGCTTCTCAAGCTTGCAGCCAAAGTACTACTGATAAATAGGCATTCATGGCAGTAAATATCCTTAACTCTGCCATGGTGTCTCCCAGCCTTCCAGCCAGCATGCAGAGCATTTGGTTGGCTTTTCACTTGGCTACCTTTGTGCTACCCTCTCCTCCGACATTAATTTTCTAAGTATCCTCTAGGTCAGATGAAACAGACTCCGCCTCAGTGAATATGTCAAAATTAATAAAACCTTTCTACCCTCAGCTGCTGACTGATCCAAACCCTTTGACCCCCTCGAAAATTGAAGAGGTTGTTCCAATACAAACAAGTGTGATTGTAAAACAGGGAACTAAAGAAGAGACAGCGAGGCTCCAATTAACACGCGTGCCCACACATGGATCCAGCAGTGCCACGAATGTAAATGTACTTTCTGCCCTGGTATGTTTATTGCAAGCCTTTGAGACTATTTACTGGGCATTGTTTGGATAGAAACATTACCTTTGCCACTGTATGTCATAACTGACCAATATAAATAAGAATAAAAGCCCTTCCCTCAGACAAGAGCAGCAGGAGAATATTTCATCTGAGTGTAGCCCATGCTGCCCAGCAATTCATTGTTTCTGGAAAGCTGCCCTTTAAAGCAGCTTACTAAATATGTCTTTTTGTGGGGGGAGGGCTCCAAAGTTTTCCTTCCAGCTGCAAGAATATTTCAGCCCAGAACTGTCCACAGCAGAGCTTCTCAGGATAATGAATGCCTCTAGTACTGATGGGAAACTGTTCTTCTACCCTCATGTTTGAGAACTGCAAGTGCATCCTAGGAAACCTCGCCACAGTTTCTGCATGAAATCGTGCCTGGGTGCCATTGGCTCCAGCATATAGGTGGACTCTACTGGGCAACGGTGGTGGCTCTCTTGCACCTGCTAGCTAGCTGTTTCTGATCGTCAAAGGGCACTGCCGTGAACTTCCAAAGGAAAGGTTTTTCTGCATGAGCACAACAGATCAAACCACATGTCTGTGCTATTAGCCTAACAAGAAGCTCCTTTCCCTGGCAGTACCATGAAGTGTTGATGCCCTACAGCATCCCTCCAACTCCATACACATTGTGGACCAAGGGTATGCTGCTCTTCCTCTTCCTAACTTAGAAAGTATAACTTACCAGGCTGGAGAGGGGAAGGGATTGTTATGGTTTAAAGTGCTGTATTTAATTAAGCATGGAAGATTCACTCGTTTAAAAGAGTGCCACGGGTGGCTAAATTACTTTGTGTGATTAGGCATGAGCAACAGCCTTTTGCTGTTCAGGGCCTTAGTGAGTCAGCTGCTCTATCAAGAGTAGCTGGACGTAGAGGAATTCTGATGTCCCAGAATGCAGGCAAATTCAGGAATGCTTATCTGGAGAGAGAGGATAAACATTCCTCTCCATACACAGCCAAATATGATGAGCAGAAGTAAGTATCAGGGGCACAGTTTACTTTTTTTAAAAATAAGTTTTATTTGAAATTATAATCCTAAACAACAAAAAGAAAACTACAAACAACATCCATCATCAAAAACATCGAGCCCGCTGGGTCAGCCCCCACACCCTTCTTTTTCCATTTATGATAACTTAAAAACATATTTAAATCTATCCGAAGTCCCGTTTCTCTAGCCAATAATAAAATAAGTCCCAAGTTTGATAGAAGTCAGTATCTTCCTTCTCCTTTAATGATAAAGTCAGTCTATCCATTTCTGCGCAGTCCAAGATCTTTTTTAGAATCAGTTCATCAGTGGGTAGTTCTTCACTTTTCCAGTGTTAAGCAAATGCGATCCTCGCCGCAGTGATGACATGTAAAGAGGCACCGTTTACTGAATGCACTCTCTCGGTCTATGGACTGAAGATGCTGGTTTCATTCGATTCACCACAATTTGTGATTAAACCACGGTCAGGTTCCCACAATGAGCTGACGGATGTAGACGCTCATGGGCTGCTGGGTCTCAGTAGAACCAGCCTTCCAAAGGGACGTGGTGGTATGGCCCATGCCTTGGGGCTGGAGTCCAGGCCCTGGAGTCCAAGGGCAGCCTGAATGCCCCACCAGAAAGTGGCAAAGGCAGAAGCAGACTTCATTTTATTTCTGTAGACATGTTGGCCGTTTCAATAAATTAGATTTTAAAAACTGCATGCTCAGAGAGGTTGTTGTTGTTGTTGTTGTTTTCCTCCTGTTAAAAGGGCTGACAAACACTGTAGTTGTGATAGTTCTAGTGCCTGAGGGATGTAGGTACACTTTTAAAGCTCAGGATAGCAGTTGAAGTATGTGTGGTGGAGAGAAATGCTCCACGGAAAGGGGCCTCCATGCAACATTTATGTTCAGGACCTAGTTGCTTCCCAGCATGCACGAATGGGGCACAGTCTCTTAGAAGGCCACGTGGGTCATGATGCTCTCCTTGCACCCTTGATGCATGGCTTCTCCTGGCACTGGTCTTGGTGTCCACATTTTAAGCATGGGGAAAATCCTGTGTTCATAGAACTCTGTGTGTGTGTGTGTGTGTGTGTGTGTGCGCGCGCATGCGGTTACCTGAATGCTGGAGTCCTACAGATTCAGTGTCACAGATTCTGAGGATGCAGCCTGCATAGATTGCAACTCTGCAGGTGTCCATGCCTAATGCGATGTTGGGGATGGTTTGGGTGTTCTCATCTGGTAGGCCAATGGCGTGACCTGACTGCTCTTTCATAATATGGGCCTTGTTGAGGATGCTTTGATGTTGCACATGCTGAAGCTGAAGGATGCATATTGTGGGTTTGGTTCTTTTAAGAGCAAGGAATGATTGACAACATGACTCCCTGTGTTCCAAAAACAATAGCATGCACCAGATCTCATTCCTGGAGGCACCAAATCGTTTGGGAGAAATATTTTATGTTGTGTTGTCCCTTGCATGCTGAATAACCACCACTATAATGTTAAGTGAAGCTTGTTTATATGAATGGGGCTTTGGAGAAAACAATTATATAAAAAACTGCTTAAGATTCAAGCCTTCAGGATGACATGTCAATGTGCTTGTGCCTGAGATAGGAAAAGGTGGAGGGCAGACACTTGGGGGGGAGAGGGGAATAGCAACTTTATCTATTCTGAAACCAGATAAAGAGATTATTGAGCAGCAACAAGAAGCCAGCTAACTATATTTTCCTGTTCATCACTTATTTTTTCCTTGATGTGTCCTGTTTGTTTTTGTAATGCAAGTAACTATCTCTTTTAAAGATGAGAAACAATTATTTTTTCCCTTCAAAATTGGTATCTTTGGATTCCTTTTATGTGCAAATTAATAGCACAGAGACCTGGGATATGTATATTTTTCCCAATGAGACTGGAAGGGATAGATGGAATTACTAGCTGGATGAAATTATTAGAATATGTTCGCAGACATGATATGTATCATGATGATCATCAATATCAGATCAGAATATAAGCTAAGTAGGCCCTCCTTGCACTATCTACTCCTATCCTACTATCCGTCATAATGTTATGACAAAAAGTCAATTTGGCATTGTAGAATTTTTTAAAAGTTTCCTCGATTTGCCTCTTTGCATTTCTCTGGGTTTTTTTTTTAATCATGCCCCATTAAATATTCCATACATTTATTTAAAAATCTAGCATATTAAGAAACTTCCCCTGCCCACCAAGCACTTGCTATCTCAGTTTTTGACTTACTTAGTCTTTTTTTTCCCCATGGGGAGCATTTAAAAGTATATCTGAAATGATATGGCCCTTTCTCGAACCTCAGGACTCTGCCAATTCATGGATGTTTCTTTTTTCTTCATGGGGAAGGACCACAGCTCCACCATGGAGAACAATTTTCCCATTTCATCTGCAATGCCCTGTTCTTTAGTTTCTTTTGTGTCCAGTTAAAGTCACAGGTAGAAGATTAAACAGTCTTGATTAAAACTCTGAAACGCTCCCACAAGTTACAGCAGACAGTACTAAGCAGGATAGACAACTAGTTGGACTTAGTAGGATGTTGCCTCATTGTTCAATATTTTGCTCTTACCAGAGCGTAACAAGATGCTTCTGGGAGTTCATAAGGAGAGCATGAAATAGGCCAGGCCATGGCTTTGATCGGTGAACTTACTATGGTGTTTCTGCATGGGAAGATTCTGGTCCACAATCATAGTTGGTAGCAGTTGACAGACCTCAATGAATTCATGGCATGAATTCCCCGCAAAATGCCAGGGCTATTTGGCAGCCATGTGGAATTACCGCTCAGAGGGCAATGCACTGTGCCGGTATCGATTCAGGACCATAAGTGAGATCCACCACCCAGACAAAAGAGATTTAGCACTTCCTATGGGAAGTGCTGAGTCTCTCCTGTGAAGTGGTGGCCATACTTGCCCCGTGAAATTGTGGGAAGGGTCACTCACAGAGCAGAATGTTGGAGCTGACTCAGCTGCTGAGCCCATTCCTACCATACCATCTCAGTAATGGGGAAAAAAATAGAATACTGAAAATATGAAAGTACACATGTCTGCTCTTCTTATAAAAAGTGATGCAGGAGAGGGCATCGTGGTTCAAAGGAAAACTCGGCAATTAAAATGACAGGCAAAGAAAAGGAAGAAAACCTGGAAGAGGATTGTTGGTTTTGTTAACCTACAGATGTGTCTGTTGTTGACACTTCATCTTTGCTTATGTTTCAGGTTGCCTAAAGGTGCCGCAAAGTGAGCAGAATGAAACACTGAATCCAGGACTGAAAAAAGAAGGGACTCACTTCAAGGGTTAGAATATTTATGTTTGCTTCTTTGCTCTTTTTAAAACAAAACAAAACAACAAAGAAAGAAAGAAAGCATTCAATGTTATTATATTATTACTCAATGTACTGCATTATACTTCATCTGCCCCTGTGCACTGTAGCCACAAGTTTGAATTTATTTTAATAGACTTTGTATTTAAATAAAGTAGAAATTAGATGCCAATGATAATATTTCTGTCAGTTCCCACATCATCTATACATCATACGAAAGAAAGGATAGCTCATTGATCAACTTATCATTGCAGTCACAAAGCTTCTTCTGTATGTAGATCCCCTCTCCTCTTCCCTTTGAGCTAACTACAGAAAGTTTGTGGTCAACTGAGAGGATGCCTCTGTAGAACTGTGAATTGATCCTACACCAGAAAAACCCTTGCTTTGATTATCATATACTAGAAAACTCTGGCTCTTAGAAATGGTATCAAAGGCAGCCAGATCTCCCAGTCTGGCTATAGGCTATTCAGAAGGAGATTAAGAAACTGCTTTTCATCTTGTTTCAGTGGAACTGTGAGCAATATCTTATGTAAGCCACACTGCAACAATTTTCCTTCCTTGAAAGCAAATATATCTCCCAGAGAAGAAATTGTGAGGGAGGAATGTTGAACAGCTTATCATTGCAAGGGGCTCCTGGCCTTCAGAAAACAAGTTTATTCCCTTGAAGCTAAGGTTGCTGACCTTGGAAAGGAAAGGGAAGCAAAAGTTTGACTGATGACAGTCAGTCCTAGTTCCTGGGTGATACCTCCTTTGCTGCCATGAAAATTGGGCATTTTGGGCAAAGAGGGAATCATTTTGAGGATAAGGGAAATCGCTTAGAAGGGATGTGATAGCTTAGAGGAAACGATAGCATAGATGCCTTTGGAGTTAAGCAATTATCATCTCATGATGCTGTGTGAGGCTATGTGGGGATGGGAGATCTCTGGGGGATGGAGGTGTTGCTCTTCACATCCAAGAGACTTGCAGATCTAAAAAGCACAGAAGCATGGGGGGTGAAAAAGTGATTTAGTCCCAGCAGCAGGCTATCACATCTCAGACCGGAGAGCTTAGTTGATCCTGAGATGGAAAATGAAATCAGAGAATTTGCAAAATAAGGATCTAGGAGAACGTCTGTTACCTGAACATTGTCTGGAAAAGTGTAGGCTGCAGCTTTGACAAAAATTTGAATTTCTCAGTGTTCCTAGGACCCACTAGCCTGGAGACTGTCCTAGATTAAATCCCAGGGGAGTTGCCCAGGAGCTGTATGTGATGTAAATGTTGTTGACCCAGTTGGAAACAGTGACCACAGTGCTATCGGTTGTAATACAATTTAAGTGGAAGATTGTCAGAGAGGTCCATCATAATCAGATTTGGCTTCAGAAGAGGAAATTTCTCTAAAATAGAGGAATTTATTAAAAAAAAGAAAAGAGCATGGTTAGGAAGCAGTGTCAAGGAAACTAACTAGGGAAAAGCTACCTTCAGAAAATGGAAGTATTGCCCAAATGAGGAAAACAAAGATGACATTCTGTACTGACAAATCTAAACAGTTAATAAATCACTAAGCCTTGCTTGTATCCAAATGAGTGTCTTAAAGAACTCAGATATTAAATTGCTGACCTTCCAAGAAAAATATGTAACATGACTGAAAAATATGTAGCATGACCAGCCTTTGTACCAGATGACTGGATTAGGTGAACCTTTGGTTTGATCCAGCACGGCGCTTCTTAATATCTCAGTCTACTCGTACCTGTTTTTATTCTAGTTTATCAGTGTATGGTGCTACTGAGTAATCGTTTCTACACTATAAATTGCACTTGAAATAGAAAAGGGTTAGGCTAGTGCTTGGTTAAGCTTCAAATCAGTAAGATTAGGAAACGCATATGGAGAAAAGTGTTTTTCTTTAACACATTCAAAACGAATTGCTTCAAGGCTGCAACCTTGTACCAACTTAGATGAATCTTCAGCTTATTGAAATCAAAGAGATTTGATAGCACGTAATTGAGTTTCAGGATTAATGTTTTCTCTTTAAAATCTCTTTAGGAATTCTATCTGAATGAGCCTGTAGTAAAAAATGACTCAAAATAAAAGAAAATACAGTAATGGTGAGCATCACACACATGATTGATGTCTACTTATTCCTCATTAAATAACTCAAAATGAATAAGTGCTCCCATTTTTTGTACATTTCTTCCACTGGATTGAAAGCTGTGAATTGTATGAAGAAGAACAACATGTAGCTGTTGCTTTCACTACAGAATGCGATTTGCTATTTTGATTGAAATCAGTTGAGTTTTTGGATTCATGCTCAACTCTGCAGTGCTCCTCCTTGATTCCTTGAATTGACAGCCATCCATGGTTGTGTGATTGGGTGTTAGCAATACCCTATTTGTGTTCGAGGGTGAATGAATGGGGATTCGAAGTGTGTAGAGAATTTGGGTTGTACATGATGGTTCCACTCCCTACATATCCCAGTCAGGTGGCACCCATCAGCCTCACCCACCCACCCACCCACCCACCGCCATATTTAGTCAGCAAAATCAGAAAAGGAGTCCTACTGATATTTCCATGGAAATAAGTAGATGGTTCTGTGTGATCAGGAGCCCTGATAAGGCAAGGCCTGTGATTGCTTGAGGGGTCTATTCATTTTTGAGAAAAAGCAAGTAGCACGCCCTTTCAGGTCTTGATGATGCCACATGGCAAGGGCAAGCAGGGCCAATGTGCCCAGCCCTGACTCTCTCCCCACTTTAAGTCTTTACCTGCTTGCCTGCACACCTGGTTATGTCTAACTGGTTGGTTGCATGTCATTAGTACCACATAAATCTCTCCCTCTCTCTCTCAATTTTTCTTTTTCTGGGGAGCAGGGTAGAAAGAAGAAATTGACTCTGATGCCTTTTAAACTATGGAAACTGACAACAATATTTGTGAGATGCTTTGGTTTGCTCATTTCTGATCAAGGAAAGATTATGATGTTTGAAGAAGAATTCAAATGACCTCTTCAGCTACTTCAGCTCTACTTTAGGCAGGGTTTTCAATGGATTCTTATTTTTTTAATCCATCTGGTAATGGTGGTGATGGCTTTGTGCAAAAAATGAGAGACATTTGCATTATTCTGAACATTTGAGAAAATCTGGCAGGAAAGCAGTGGATTTCAGATTTTTCAAACAGGCTGTTTCATGTTAAAAGCCACTGAATACAAACCCTTTTCCTTGCTGATGACATTGCCAAAAAACCTGTTATTTTAGTGAAAGAAGAGGCCTGACTGTACCAAATTACTTATCTGAAATTAATGCTTCCCCCCATCTTTGACAGCAGTTTCTAACTCTTTTCACAGTAGAAATACTAATCATTAAATGTGCTTGTCGTCATTGCAAAATATATTTATTAATTTTCTGCTTTCCAAAATAGATTGAGAATAATTAATCAATATGACATTGAGAGCAAAATCCAAGGCTTCTTTTGAAATGGAGATGCAAATGATGAAACCTCCATTGTTAAATCGCCAACTTACCATTATGCTGTCATTTATTGGGTATTCTTTTATCTCAATACTCCAGCAATTGCTAATGCAAACAATGACTGTAAAGAAATGTGAGCTGAAACCCTTATTTATGCTCCTGAAGCTTACTTTGCAAATGTTATCCTCCTGTTGAATAAATTGTGCCAGTCGTAATGGTCACCTCCAGTTTAGGGGTTCGTATGCAGAACTGACCTTGAACTCCTGTGGGAGACAGTCTGGAAAGGTCTCTTAGTACAACAAATGGCAGCCATGGCATGGAATGAGACTGGGCATTGTCATCATAACAAGCCAATATGATGCCATCTTCATGGGCATCCATTTTGTTTCAAGGCCTGATTCAGAGTGTTGAATTCAAAATATTGGGAAAAGCCCTGAGCGCATCACCTGAAGTCCTGCTTTGAGCATCCTCAAATGCTGTGAGATAGCAGACAGGACCTCCAAAGCGGGCCTCCTCCACACTTACGAAATACTCTCTACTGAAGGTCCACCTGGCACCTACTTTGTATCTTCCTAGTGTCAGAGAAATACACATTTTTTATTTTCTTGTGGCTTTAATCATCTTATTTCTGCTGCTCATTTCTGTAGTTCTTTCTCTGTGATGCCTATTCTCTGCTGTTTTTAACTGATTGCTACTTTTAAAAAAATCATTTTATTGTGTTTTTATGTAATTTATAAGCATTTATATTACCTTTGGAGCTTTGGGGCAAATAGTATCTCTTAGAAATAAAGAAATAATAGACATTCACATGCTTCAGGCTATCTCCAGGTAGTCTGCCAGGGCACAACCATGTGTCATGAGATAACTGCCTGTGTACCAGCAGAAGTGAATTCATTGAAAAGTTAAACATTCCTGTGAGCTCAGATAATATTTTATTTATTTATTTATTTATTTATTTATTTATTTATTTATTTATTTATTTATTTATTAAAACATTTCTATGCCGCCCCTTGCCGAAGCCTCGGGGTGGCTCACAGCATAAAATAAAATACACAATAAATTAAAACAATAACAATTAAAATATATACATTAGAATAAAATAAGCCACCCTGGCCAAATAAAATTCAATAGTATTAACATTTAAAATGCTGCTTAAATAAAAAGGTCTTTGCCTGGCGCCGAAAAACAAATAACGACGGCACCAGGCAGACCTCTCTGGGGAGCGCATTCCATAACTTAGGCGCCACCGCTGAGAAAGCCCTCCTCCGAGTAGCCACCCTCCTAATTTCCTTCACTGAGGGCTCCCGGAGGAGGGCCTCTCCCACTGATCTCAGGGAGCGGCTGGGCATATATGGACGTAAGCGCTCCTTCAGGTAACCAGGACCCAAGCCGTTTAGGGCTTTATAGGTCATAACTAACACCTTGAATTGGGCCCGGACTTCAATGGGGAGCCAGTGAAGCTGACGGAGAACAGGAGTCATGTGAACATAACGTCCAGTCCCCGTCAGCAGCCTGGCAGCTCTACTTTGAACCAATTGAA